GTCCATGAATGCCATGGATAGTGTGAGAAGGGAGAGTGCAAAGCGTGAGGACAAACATGACTCGAGAAAAGTAACGCCTGATGTCAAAGGAAGCGAAGGCTCAGAGTTCAGACAAGTTGCTCGGTGTCACACACTGATCACCTACAAGGATTGTTTGAGTCTTTAGCAGGGAGCGTTACACGCAGAGGTCTATTGAGTCTGTGGTTGAGAATCTGCACAGATCTGCTACACCACCGTGTTACATCGTCTGCTGTGTAATGTGAGTTGTCCTGGGTTTGGGAGATGAGCTGCCGTGTGTATGCTAGTTTTATCTAAAAGTGCCAGGTATCAGTAGTGTAAAGTATTGTTAATATTCATTGAATGAAACTATATAATAAAACCCCTAAAGTAATAGGATGCAGGAAAGAAGAAAAAGTATGTTGCAGAGGTGTATAGATTGAAATATAAAGGAGTTGCCACTGCACAATTCAGGTTGCAAGTAGCTGTGTCTCATTCATCCCAGCAGGTAAAACTGGAGTACAGCACTACTGAAGAGCAGTGTTCACAAAAGGATAAACATGGCAGTTTACCTGATTTTTCAAGTTATGATGTTTGTAACTTGGCATGTGAAGAGATCTGAGATGTCTGTTCGGATTTTAGCACTCTTAATGTAGCTAAGAATGTCCTAAAGGCTCAACACTTACACCCACTGAGGTTTACAGAGCATGCAGGCTAGATGGAGCACACAGTTCCAAATTGCACTAGACAAAAAAAAAAAAAAAAAAAAAAAACCCAAAAAAAAAAACCCACACAAAAAACAACAAACCAAGACTGGCATGTGAACCTCTGTGTTAAAGAAACTGCCTGCACACTATATGCTGATGTTTATTCTAGCGGATTTGATCTCTGTCATGCATAATATTCTTTTTATTCACATCCACTAAGTATGTTTTCATTTTATTCATCCTACAAGTTTCTCATCATATGACAGAATGGAGGATGGGCTGCCACGCCTGCGTTGTCTGTAAAAACAGGTAACGTTTCCGATGTGTCCTTGCAAGACGTGATCAATAACAGCACGCCCCAAAAGCAAAACTGAATCAGTGTAAAAAAGGCGAAATGGAGCCTTTCACATTTTTGTATCCTAGATTTTCAGTAGTCAATTTTATTTTTTTTCATTCTGCATGCTAATAGGCATGCTTTGAATTGTTAGTAGGCAGTTTGGATATTTGAGGAAGCAAATCGCCTCAAAAATTGAGTTTAACTAACTGAAAAACTAAGTGTGACATAGCAGAAAAAATATTTCTGTGATGAACCCCTCCCCAACTCCATTTTAGTTAATTTCCTTATTTACATTGTAAAACAGCTAAAAAGATAAAGAATATTTATAATTTACATAGATGAACATATTGTGTGTATTTAATCCAGTTATTATTTTATTATCACAGTCCTTTGGAGAGCGGTATGGATCCGCCTGATGTCCCTGAGAGCTGACTTTTATAGTGAAATTGGGTTAATAAGTTGGGTAGAATTGCAAGAAGACGTAGTTCCTAAATGAGTAGGTTATAACACTTAGGAAGAGAGAAGAACCTACAGCTTCGTTTAAGAAGTGTCATGTGATACTGAATCATCTTTAGCACCAGCATTGTTTGAAGTGGGGTTTTTTTTTAGCTTTTGAGATCTCCACGGTATCAGAGAGATAAAGGCGGGGATAGTAGTTATTTCCTTCCTGCAAAGATGTTTACGCTGCAAGGTAAAAGACTTTGAAAAAAAACGTTACCTTGGTATAAACCTATTTTGAATATTCAAATTTATTTTGCAATATACAGTATAAGTCTACAATTATTGTGATGTTTTATTAATATTTATATTTAAGTAATTGGAAGTTCATTAAATATATTTTAGTTTACTGAAGAACACCTTTCCCAAAGCCAAGTGCAGTGGAAACGTTATTTGTTATTTTTTTCATTTTAAATTGTCTGAGAAAAGCATTTTAGGATCAATTAGCATTTGAACTATAATTTTTTTTTCTTAAGACTTGATAATTGTGCAAATGTTACATCAATTATTGTGTGTATTGTTATTTGAGAAGTTATTAGTGTTACAATCAGTTCGGTATGGGAATAGAATCAATTATGCTGCTTTAGCATTTCAGTTTATGAGAAAATTGTTGTCTTTACTCTTTGCTAAGTTATTCGTGCATTTAATAATTCAGTAGTCAGTCTGAACCATTTTTCAACAGGGAAAAGGGGCCAGAAGCTTGCCTTTATTTTCCATGTATATTCAGTGTTGTACTCGGGGGAATGGTATATCCAAAAATAAGACTATAAATAAGAAATCAGTAGCCTTTTCTGTCTTGCTGCATTATGTGGGTTTGATATATGCTTCTGCAGCATTATTACTTACTCTGTTCAAATCAATGCTCCGAGCTCTCCTTTATGTGATTGATTTCTTCCAGATTAGCCTATGAAGTACGTGATTTAATAAACACCGCTGCTACCTATTTGCGAACACACTGATGTCTGCAGTATTACATACAGAGATACTATAAAGTTTCCAAAATGCTTCAGTCAGTCGTAAGATTTTGATGGTGTAACTTTATTTCAATAGGAAAGAGAAAACAACTTTTGTCTTATGTAGTCAAAAGCAAAATAAAATTGCTTGGAAGACGTAGAGATAAGGCAAGAACTTATAAAAATCAAGCCAGATTTGTCGGAGATAATGATGAAAAAGAAAGATGCTTACTAGGGTATTCTCCTCTTTAATACCACTTTCATTCCTCAGAAAAAAGCCCTTTTTTTCCACACTTTTGTGTTCTTAAACATTGCAGTAACAGATTGAAAAGTATCAGTAGCTCTGTATAACTGTTCATATCCCTCCCTAAAATATACCTATGAATATGCATCTTGCATTACCATTTAGTGAAGGTTTTTGCAGAAATGGAGTGTCAGGGAAGAATTCAAATGTTTCGTGTGATATAGTATTATTCAAGATTCAGTGGGTTTGGGCTCCACATGGAATGCCTCCTCTTCAACAGGATGTTATTTCATTGCCACCGTTGCTTTTCCATAGCAGCGTACAGGTTGTTAATGCTTTGGGCAGCTGTGTCTTGAAAGAGTTCTGTGCAGGACAAGGAATGATTTTGCATGGCATTTGGACATTTAGAACCAGATTCTTACAGGTGCTTATGGCTGGATTATATGAACCCGGTTTGGATACAGTTTTGTACAGATTTGTGTTTGCCCTAACAATTTTAATTTTTGTATTTCTGCAATACCTCTCTGATATTCCTAAGACCAACGTTTTCTAATGGTTTTCAACCCAGAGACTCTTGTGTAAAATCACCGATAGAAAACATAGTGGCCTTCAGGCGTTAATGGCCCATGCAGTTGGGAAGTTTGGAAGAAAGTTTCATGAGAGGTTTCTGTGTAACATTTTAGCACAGATGTCCAAGCACAGTATTTTTTGTCTTCCTTCAAATTCACTCATAGTTCTTTAGTTTTCCTGATAACTGCCTGACATATTGCTGTTCCTTCCTGTTTTTTTCCTCACTGTATATAGAGTTTTTTTTTTTTCTTCATGCCTTTTGCAATATTGTATTCTCTAGAGGTAAATCTCAATAGCTTCACAGTACATCTCTGCTCAGTTGTAGGTTGCAGCCTGATATAAAGCATATTCCCTCCATCTCTGTACCCAAATCAGTCTGTGACCAGCTCAAAAAACAGTATTTCTTTAATACTTTCTTAGAAATGTTATAGGGGTTCTGTTAATCTTTCTCAAGGAAACTTGTACTTCTTATATTACCCTGTTTTATTCCACTTTCCTGGGAATGGTTTTCCCTTTCAATTGCAGTACTATTGTTTTTAGTATTATGATTGTTGTCTTTTCCCACTACTTTGTATTGTAGAATTAAAAAGCTACTTTCAGCACAGCGACTACCATATTGCTTTTGAAGGATAGATGTTATTCTAAACCCTCACCCCAACACCTTGGGAAGGATTGTACAGTATGATTCTATTCACTCCACATTTTTATCAACACAGTCACCGTCACCTGCAGCCATCATATCATTCTAGAGCACAGCCCTACAACTGTTTGTTCCCCTTTTGCAATATCAAGATATGAGGAAGGTGAATGGCAGTTTTCGTGCATGTTTTTGTCAGTGTGTTTTTATAGCTCCCATGAACCGTGCTGGACTCAGCAGCCTAGAAACTGAAATCCTTCGTTTAATCACAGTTTCGGTGTAGTTCAACCGAAAGACGTGTTTCTATACACAGCCTCTGTAGCATGTCTAAGCCTTGAGCTTCTATAAGTGAAAAAAAGCACTCAGGCCAGTCAGTCCCTGGCCCCGTCTCTGGGACTGTTGAAGCATTCATGCCATTGAGTTTCGTGACAGGTGCTAATGTCTACTCTGGAGTGGACTGAGAGTTGCCTTTCACTCATTTGGGAATTTCTTGCTGTAAGTTACTGAGAGAATGTAGTGTTCTATCCAGTTTGGAAGATGTTCGCCCATGTGCACCACATGTCTCTTCAGAAGGCAGTAGGTTTTCAGGTGAGCTTGCATTTAGCCACGGGCTCAGTGTGAACCTCATCGATGTATGTTATTTTTTTTATCTGTTTTTTCACTTGCGAAAACTCTCAAAATCCAATAACTAAAACCAGACAACTAAGTAAAACAATAAAGCTCATTCCTGGTTTTAGACTGTTGAGATGTTTTATACAAAAACAAAGTAAAATTAAGGCCCTTCAGAGACTCCTGCAGTAGCCCAGGTCCATGGAAAAGTACTGCACAGAATTCTTGTGTGTGGTCATAAATCGTAGTCTCTTAACATTTTAATGTTGTATTAGAAAGACGATAGGTCATATTCCTTTTCACAAAGATGTGTTTATGGGGTTTTATTCACTTTTCCCTAAAAATCCAGTGTAATGAAAGTATGTGCTATTCTAAAAGAAGTGCTTGCTATTAAATCTGCTAGAAATTATTTGACTGTTTTGTGGGTTTTTTTTTTTGTATTTTTCAGCTAACAGGACAAGTGGCTTTGCAAATTGCCAGTGAACCAGTTTTGCCGTTTAATGCCCTCGACATCGCATTAGAAGTTCAGAACAGCCTTAAAGGTAATTTTTTTTAGAAGAATATTGTTCTCCATTAATATATAGAAAAAAAAAGAAAAGATCACCTACTCCCTGGTACAGATCTTCAATTTCCGCTTGAATGATAGCCAGTGATTTTACTAGTTCAACGGTGTCGTTATATGTTGCTAAATAAAACACAGTTTTTGTTGCTAAATAAAGCCATAAAATGTTTCTATTTCGTCCAATGTTACTATGTCAGGTAAGCAATATTTACTATTAAAATCTCATAATTACAGTCAAAGATAACAACCTCTGTGACTGAACTAGATTTTAATTCCCTTCAAGGCTTTGTTCAGCACAAGCAAGAGAGGGCTTCTAATCCTAATTTGACTCCTTAATTTTCACAATCATCTTCCTTGTTTGGTTATTCCACTAACTCGTCTTGTTGGCAGAGCATGCTACCTTTTCTCCTTTTTCAGGTGTGACAAAGCACGGCACGGTAATTTACCACGACCTGTTGTGTGAGTTGATTAAGCACTGAGACCCAAGAAGCTCTGTATTTGAAACTCATCTCGGTGTGTTTGGGACAGTGGGTTGGGGTTAAAGAGATGGACAAGAAAGTTCCTAGTCAGAAAGTAAACAGAATTGACTAGTGACCTGGAAATGATGCAGATGTAATTCTCACAGACTCCGGCAGTGTTTGCTACGTGTAGGATGAATACCTTGAGATGAGACTGCTACATCAAGATTGTGGAGCCATCACAGATACTTCCGTGTTGCCTTCTCATTTCTGGCTCTTTCTATTGTCTTGTGGCCTTTTAGGGCTTGATAAAAGAACAAGAATTCCACTGTCTTTTTGTCCTGTGTTGACAACAGAATGCAATTAAGCCAACAGCCCTGGGCTTGAGCTGTTTAAGATGGCACAGTTAAAGGGTGCAGTTGTGCGTTCCCTTTGCTCTGGGGACCGTTCTTTTTGTGTTGTTTTTTTTTTTTTTTCCGACAGTTGGTAGAAAAATGTTAATATAAGGAACTAAAGCCATTGTGTGTTACTGAGATGTTCTCTGCTACCATCTAGACTAGAAAAGAACAAAAAATCTTCTTGTTATTAATTACAAAAAGAATATCTGTCTTAGCTCCAGTCCTGAGGACTAAGGAGGGAGAGGAGGTCTAGGTTCTAACACTCATCCATGTAACCTTTCTCCTTCAGTATCACCTGTCTTTCTCCTCCCATTCTGTCCCTTTTCCCTTACAGTTTCCTCGTGTCTTAGTGTGTTCAAATGAGATCCAACTGTCCTTCCTTTTCTAAGTGACTAGTTGAAAGGAGGCTGGATGTAGAGAACACATAAGAAGCTTAGTTCTTGGAGATTAATGATAATTTAACTGTCAAATTCCAACATAATTCCTTGAATGTATACAAACCGAGATATTTCAGAAGCTGGTATTCTGGTCAGAATTCAGTGAACTTAAAAGAAATAGCAAAAGGTATATCCCTGACAATAACCCCCATGAAATTTGAAGACTGCTCCAAAGCGTGCTGTTGTTAGGACCTCGCAGTGGAAAAATGTGAGATAGATAAAACTATGTCGTTATTTCCTCATCTCTGATCGTATCTCTGATACAGAATACCTGTAGTGTGCTAAGGCCTTTGAAAAATAATTTTTCTATTTATTCGTTTATGGAACTCTCAAGTTGATCTGTTAAATAAAGCTGTAAGTTCTGTAAAATCACACGAAAACTTTACGTATAGTTCAGTAGAATGTGAGATCTTATTTCCAACTTCAAGATTTTTTGCAATCTTGAGGTGTTGCCCCTGCATTTCATTCACTCCCTACAGTATAAAGTATCACTTTTCTGTAATACACAGTCATAGAAGTATGATACCTTTCCTTTAGTTTTTGCCATCCATCATTGTCAAGACCTAGGAGTCGGTAGACTGGCATTGGTCTGGAATGACTGAGCATCCAAAAAGACAAGTAATTTTAGCTCTGTTGTGCCATATAAACATTGGTTTAGTTCAGCCTAAGCACAGCAGGGAATGATCATCAAATAAAAAGTGTGGCTCAGCTGGTATTCCTTCAACTGAACATGAGATGTCTGCTATTGTTCTTCCTTTTTTCTTCATTTTGAGTAACAGGAAATGTTGATTTAAACTGACTTTTTTCCTCTAACTTCAGGTAGGTCATTTATCTCAACCACTTCAGGGGAGGGAAAATTATTTTCTAGGCTGTAGGGTAAATTTTCTTCCAGGTATTCACTTTGGACTTTTGTTTAATGACTTTTCTCGTAGCTTTCATGTCTCTTCTGTCTCTGACTTGTGTCAAAGAACAGTTTATTTTCATTTTGGAAACCAGTAAGACAATGGTCTTTTTTTTGGTTACTTAAATGAGAAGTTGTACTTTTTAACACGGCTTATGGATTTCTTCATTCTTCAAAAGATTTTACGTTGTCTGAGATTTCCAGTTCAAAGTTTCATTGTCTTAGCAAACTATCTCCTTTTCCAACTCGATGCAAACTGTAAATGTAGAAAAGGCAAAGGGAAATCTGCACGGCATGCGAGAAGATTTGTTCGTGAGGCTTAATTTTGTGCCTCTGGGGTCTGGTTCAGCCAATCACTTAAACACACGTTTCATTGCCTGTTGGACACTCTCACGTTCTTGAAGTTAAATCATACGTGTAAATACCTGAGTCACAGTTTGGCAGTCTCCTGGATGTCCTCACAAAAGGTTATGTGTGTCTTAATATTTGTTAATACTGCGTTTGTCTATGTTTCCAAAGGATTAATTCTGTAATGCACAGGGTATCCACACCGTTAGCTCTGTTAAATTCCATAGGATGTTACTCAGCACTTTATGAACCATTCTTTACATTTGGGAGAGGCTGGCTGGCAGGTTACAGGGAAATGTCATCCACAACGTGTCTACATCTGGCTTGAGGCCTGTTCCTCAGAAAGATGGGGAAATGGCTGTTAAGCGACATGTGTTCTCTCCGCTTGCACACACCAGAACTCTTGGAAACAAACTACTGCTTTTGGGTTTACCTGAAAAGAAGGGCTGTGACTGCAGAGACATTTCTTTTTGTGCACCTGCTGATGGTCTGACGTTTAACAGGAAAGCTCACGGTCATAAATGTTATGAGATGTGTTCCAAGACTGAAATCCAAATCCCTGGGGCTGTTCAGGCTGTTATCAATCTGATCACAGATGTGATATTTTAGAGAAGTTCACAAGTAGGTGACAGTTTAAAATATTCTCATTAACTACACATTGCAGTTGTGCGGTGTTTGTGCCGTTCATACATTTAAAATCAAGACCTGCTGCAGCTTGAATCAAATACAAGAATATCTCACCAGGCCTTGCATGCCATGAAAACCCCATTTGTCTGTTGAGATAGGGTACAGACAAGATGTCAAATCTGGTGTGTGAATGATACAAATGGTTCTTTTAGGCATTTCTGTGGAAGTGTTTTGTATGTGTATGCAAGTACAAATGTGTAAGCATTTGTATATAAGTACTTTTTATATATGGATATATAAGCCTTTCCTATGGAGACAGGCTGAGAGAGTTGGGGCTGTTCAGCCTGGAGAAGAGAAGGCTCCAGGGTGATCTTATAGCAGCCCTCCAGTACCTATAGGAGCCTACAGGAAAGCTGGAGAGGGACTTTTCACAAGGGCGTGTAGTGATAGGACAAGGGGCAATGGATTTAAACTGAAAAAGAGGAGATTTGGATTGGATATAAGGAAGAAATTCTTCCCTCTGAGGGTGGTGAGGCACTGGAACAGGTTGCCCAGAGAATCTGTAGATGCCCCATCCCTGGAAGTGTTCAAGGCCAGGTTGGATGAGGCTTTGGGGCAACCTGGTGTAGTGGAGGGTTTCCCTGCCCATGGCAAGGGGATTGGAACTAGGTGATCTTTGAGGTCCCTTCCAACCCAAACCATTCCATGATACTATGATTTTGTATGTATATGCAAGTACAAACGTGTAAGCATTTGTATATAAGTATTTTGTATGTATACAAGCATTTTTATTCAAAACATATTCGTATCATCTGCTGAACGCTGTAGCACTGTACAGTCTGGACTTGCTCCTTGTAGCCTGTCTTGTGCTGTATTTGAGCCTCTTTGAAACCCGGCATATACTGCAGCAAGCTTCAGGGACTGATGATGGAGGTGTTTAAGTGTCTCACTACGATCAAAAGTCTTTCTGAACCTTTGCACCTGACTGACTCAGCAATAACAAGCTCAGTCACACGGTTTACCAAAAATAAAGGCAACCAGGTTTGATGCGAGTCATGTCTCGCTGAGGTGCTGTTGGCTGTAGAAGCTGATACTGGTTTGTTATTGCAAGTCACGGGGCCCACCTAGGCTCATGCAGACCTTTCAAAAACTGGTTCCTGTTGCCCCAGCCTTAGGTTGAGTAGCACTAGGCATGCGTGCTAACATTCCCTCTTTGGGGCTTCCATCGCAGGCTGCTGGAGCTGGTAGGCAAATCCAAGAAGCTGTAAGCCACCTCTAACAGGTACTGGCTGAACAAAGACAAATTAAGTGGGGGTGAGATGTTTGGTTTTCCGTGTGTAGGGAGGGCAAGGGCTGGGATTTAAAGCTCTGACTGACCCAGTATCAGTTGTGTGTTGCTTCCTATCAGTTAGGCCCTTTCTTCTCCCCAGAATGGATGTTTTACAGGTGTTACAGCAGCTGAAGTACTTGGGGTGACAATAGTAGGCAGTGCTAGCAGAAGTTAAAAAATAATCTGTTTCATGATAAGCCATTTCCAGAAAAGTCTGCATGATTTTCCACAGCCCTGGCTCAACCCGTACATTTCAAAACATCAGTCTGAACTCTCCGTCCTTAGAAAAATCAATACAGAAACGTGTCTCTGTCATTCACTTATGGCTGCATGCTCGTTGCCTACAGCTATCTCCTAGTCTTCCACTTGACGTCATTTTACCTGCTTGACCGTATTTCCCTGATCATTTAGGATACTTTTCCAAGTTACTTTCTCCATCTGTCTGTAATGTTCAGGAAGTTTCCCTCTTTACTGTTACCACCCATTATTCTTGACTGCTACAGAAGCAAAAAATACAACAGTTGGTTATCTGTATATATGACAGAAATACCTCCTGTGTTACCTTCTGTCCGTGAGACACTGACATCTTCTCTTCAGTATCCTTTCAAGGCATAGTATTATACTGGCAAACCTTTCATCAGCCTTTAAAAAGAAAAAAAAAACAAACATGGAAAAGTGCATTTTCCGTGGACAAAGCATTTGGTACTGAAGGGAAAAGACAGCCAGCTATTCTGTATCAATAGGCCATATATGTTTTTGCAGCTCTGTACAAAGTCATTTATGACTTCACAGAATCATAGAATAGTTTGGTTTGGAAGAGACCTTTAAAGATCCTCTAGTCCAACTCCTGCGATGAGCAGGGACATCTTCAACTGGATTAGTTTGTTCAGAGCCTCGTCCAACCTGGCCTTGAATGTTTCCAGGGATGGGGCATCTGCCACCTCTCTGAGCAACCTGTTCCAGTGATTCATCACCCTCATCATAAAAAATTTCTCCCCTGTATCTAATCTAAATCTACCTTCGTTTAGTTTAAAACCATTATCCCTTGGCCTATCACAACAGGCCCTACTAAAAACTTTGTCCTCATCTTTCTTATAAGCCCCCTGTAAGTATTGAAAGACCACAGTAAATTCTCCCTGGAACCTTCTCCAGACTCTTCTCCAGGCTTCATCTGTATTGACATGCATAATAATATGTCACAACATGTCTTTTTAAGTGATAGCCTCTTTAAAAAAAGAGTCTTGTAGCAACACCAAATTAGTTTTCTTGGGCAGTAGCAGTCGTGGTAGCAAAATTGAAGCTGGTGGCAACATACTCTTTGCACTGAGGATGTCCATGGATTTGTGTTTCTGCCCCCTTTAGGGTACTTTCTGCAAAGCTTTCCCATTCAGATTTTCCACTGCCAGGTCTGATCAACCAATTTTGCACAGCATGAGAAATCTTCCTAGTGAATAAACACCACACCATAACCAATTGTGAATGTGCAAAACCTGAAGCAATTTCTCCTCTCTTACATGCAAACACGTGTTCACATACATGGAGAGCGAGCGTCATGCCTCAAACTGCTGATTTGTCTGTGTTCCTTCTCCTGTGGGTATTCGTAGGCAAGTATGTTCCTACTAGAGGGCACAAACACAATTGCAAAACGTTAAATCTCCAGCAGTACTTTTCAGAAGAGCAATCAGTTTCACAGGAAAAGGCTATTGTATTCAGTGTCTGTAAAAATAAGTATCTATTTGGTGTAACCTACTTCTGAATAAAATCCAGTTACGTTTAGCAAGTGTAATGAAATTCAACAGTACAATTATCTGATCAAGAGTGTACGTACTCTCGAGTCGCTTCCTTGTACTTGCAGTTGTATTTATTTAGCAACTAAACAACTAGCTCCAATGATTCATCATGATTCACACTGGAGACAAAAGGACAAAGAATACGAAATGTAATAATGTGGCATTGTTTTCTGTTGAGTGAAGGAATACTTGCAGGATTTTTATATTTTCTCTGTAGAAGCATCACAAGATGTTTAAGACATCGTTAGTTAATGCATCCTTTTCTTTAAGAATCATTTGCCCTTCCACTCCCAGCTTCTCGACTCGAGAAAAGCACAAATCACAATTTCCTTTGGCAGTGAAACTTAGTGTGTTGTGGTAAAAACTACTGAAGCCCTTAAAGCTGAATCCTTAGTTCTCCTTAGTGGTAACGCTAGCCATGGACACTTCCAGGTTGTGTACTGGAGTGTTAAAAAAGGGCCTGGGATTAGTGTGTTTGATAGTGAGTGCTGGTTTAGGGCGTGATGCGAACGGTGCTTTTTACTCAGGACTGTACAGTAAAATGGAGTTGGTTCAGGGGCAAAGTGCGTGCTGTGGAGAAGAGGTGAGAGCATCTATAGGATTTTTATGTTTAAAAGGGTGGTCTGGTTGGCTTCGTTTCCAAATATAGAATGATTTATTTTCCCTTTATTTCACCTTCCCTATTGAAAAGGTATAGCTGGCATTTACAATTGATTACAGAATATTCAGCGTAAACATTACAAATGTTGTATGTTACTTGGAGTATGAAGTGCTTTGCTGAAGCCAAAGGAATCTAACAGGGTGAATTCCAAACTGACACAAGTCCCAGCGTAAGGTATGGGCAGTGCCTGGATTATATGCGTGGAAATCGCAAGTTGTTCAGCTGCACAGGATGTGTGCCTCAGACTTGAAAATTGAAGATACGGATATTTTGCAAAATATCCCAAATGTACCAAGTTTATATGCTTGGAGAATATTTTTCTGAGACATCAGCCTAATGTAATGAGACTTTCAATTACTCCAGACTCAAAGATACCAATCCTGTACATCAAGGTACTACAGTACCTGTTATCTATTCCAATTACGGAAAGGTGGATTAGTCAAGAGCCATTGACAAAGCAACCTTGTCCCAAACCAAGACAGACATAAACCATCTTCTCTCACTCCTGTTCTCACAGGGAGCTTCTGTTCATTGTTGAAATTAATCTTGATAGCTCAGGAAACCTGACAGTTTCTCTCACACCAGCATCTGTCTCTCCATGCGTTTTGGATCATCTCATGTTTTGCTAGATTGGAATGCTTTAGTCGGCTGAATGGCAGGAGTTCGTGGGGATCTATGGAGTCCGTTCCCTTTGCTGAGATGTATCCAATAGCAAATCTCTTTTTCCATACAAGAGGGAGGATGTGTTATATACAGGCATTTCGCTGAATTTCTTAGTCGTATCTGTTTGCTTTTCCATTCCTGTTATATGCTCACCTGTCAGACTCCATCCATAAACAGTGTGAGAAAGGGGTTGATGTTCTCCATTTACTATTTCTGATCTCTCCATGTATCTATTAGACAAGGAACTTCAGTGTTCATTTAGCTTGTGTCTTGAACCACTTTGTTGGATTAATCATCTCAGTCACTAAGACAGTGAACTCACTGAGATTTGTGCATTCAGTTAAAGGGGAGACAGCTTCCGAAGCTGAATGGTTTGTTTTGATTAAATCATCATTTAAAAGATCTAAGCATAGTTGATTTTCTTGTCTTTAAGAGGCAAAGTGAATCGTGGCCTTAAAGAATTTCTGCATCCTGGAGATGTTTTTGCTGACTCGTGTTACTTTTGACTTTAAATCAAGTTCAGACTGCTTTCTCTCTCCATGTGCTTGTAAAAATTAACACAGTCCATACATGCGCTAGAAAAGGAGGGCATGCTCTTCACCTGCACTGAGGTGGGAATGGGCTGCACGTTCACAGTACTCCAGTTCTCATATCACATTCCTCTTTCTGGGCCACGAACAGGGAAATAACAAAATTGTGGTGTACTCCAAAGTGCTGTGGGCTTTTATTATTTTTCTGTCTGTGTAGAATTACAAACAAGGTAAAAGTTAACACTCGAAGTTTAAAAAGTTTTGAAAATATTGACTGGATTAGAATATACATCTGGATGTCAATGAAAGCATCAGTTGTTTCATTGGCATATGATATAATGCAAGTGATTAAGAGGAACAATTTCACATCCCCTCTACAACTATTGTTAACCTTCAGGATTCTAAAATGATGAACAAAATTCAGTTAAATTCTGCATATTAGGATTTTCTATACAACAGTCATTATGGAACCCAAGCACAAGGTTTCAAACTTGAGAGCAGTCTCATCAAATGGCATTGGATAAATTCTATCTCAGAAGGAAATGTTATAGTTGCTGATTTATAACCGTTGCTTCCTGCATGCCTGTTTTTCCAATGGTAGGTTTGAAGCTGTACCCCAAAATCATTCCTCATGGCTTATTAGATCTTAAAACATCACAGCCCAAATTGATCTTCTTTGGAAAATAGATGAGAGCTTATGCACAATGATCTATGGCTTTCCTTGACCCATTACATAGTTCTCACAAGGGAATAGAGGCTCAGGTTTTAATTGGACTATTAATTTTGACTCGTAAGCAAGAGTAATAAGTGATGCTCTCTGAATCACTGGCGATTGTCTTGCCCTTACTGTTCCCAGGTGAAGCAGACATTCCTCAGTTGCTTGCAGTGGCATCACATCTGAGGGACACCGCAGAATTGTTCCAATCGGATGAGATGCGCCCAGCGAATGACCCCAAGGAGCGAGCTCCTATCAGAGTCAGGATGCTCAACGATGTGCTACAAAGCCTGGAGAAAAGCTTCCTGGTTCATCGAGCTCCTCCAGGACTTTACAGGTATGGCGTTCAACATGTTCTTTGTTTGAGCCTAAGTGGTGATGTCGCGTTGCTTGGTTTTCAAAACTGTCATGCACTTAAAAAAAAAATCTCAGTGAGTATCCAAGATTAAAGCTATTTTTTCCTACCTCATCCTTTCTGAAGAAAACATTATTTCATTACAGTACCAGAGGTCATTAGAATGCAGCACTGCAGGATTTCTGTCATGACATCAGTGCTAACAGGACGTACGGTGTGATGGCAACTTGGGCAGCATGACAGATACTCGTGTTAGACGGCACAGTAAGCTTTCCGAAGAAGAAAGTATTTTGAAGTCTAATACTGCTCGACAGGCCCCACCTATATTTTATTTAAAGCTTTTTACAGTTCATTGAAGATTCGGAATTGTACAAGATATTGTGTAGCATTATTTAACATATTTAATTATACAGCAGTGTTCTGAGGTGCATTTCAAGCAGTCAGAGGCAGTGCAGCAGAGCGAATGCAGCGCCTTAGTCAGTCACCACTCATAACATCCTGTCTCTGGTTAGAATTATTCTGCAATATGTATTCAGCTGCACTACCGGGGTTGATTTTAAGATGTCATAATCATTCCGTCTTTCACCTTCTAAGAATGAAGTCTACAGATCTGTATCTCTCACCATAGATTCTTCTACAAAAAAAACAAAACAAAACAAACCTTACAGCAATCAGTAGCTTAAAAAAAAGTTTGAAAAGCAAGAGTTAGGCAAGCCTGCCCTGAGTGGTGCCTGGCCCTCTGGCTCTTCAGGAGAAGCGGTAAGGTGTTGTGCCGTGTGCTGCAGTACAAACTCTCCAAAGCTCTGTGTTGCAGCCCATCAATGTGGTGTTTCGTAGCTGGACCTCAAGGGTGTGTTTGGATGCCCTGGGCTGTAGAGTGAGGGCATATGTGGGCAGTTTGACTTCACCAGGGCTGGTGGGATTATTTTGAAGGAAGGACTCTGTGGCTGGAGATAGCCAATGGCTTATCCATGCTGCCCGTTAGGAGGCTTCCCCAAGTAAAGCTGTTCCTAAAGCCGTACTCATGTTTTACTTTAGGGGAAATGGGTTGGCATACTCGAAATAAGAGAGCTCGGAAGTGAACCGATGTACGTACACGAGAGACAGACGGGCCGGGAAACAGAAATGGATGAGGCATCTGTGGTGTTTGGCAGTGTAAACGTACTTGCAACCAGAACTAACTAAAGTAACAAAGGAGTACTTCGTTGCAGTTGATGGGAAAAAATGTCCAATGTCTTGTGCAAGGGATTGTTTCAAGCGGGCACAAAACAGGCAGATGGTAGAGCAGACTTTAGGAGAAAAGCAGAAAGCTACAGCATCAGGAGGAGGAGATTCTTCCAAGCATTCGAAATGGCATAAAACAAATGCAGTCATCTTTTAGCACAAACAAAAGAAAAAAAAAGGTGGCTGTGGTGAACTCAGCAGTGTCAGGGAATAAAATCCCTGCAGCTATCATAAAGAACATACAATAGTGATACCTGGGAGGGACTAATTTCCTTCATTCCTCCTGTGACTGGATTTATAATATAAAAAAAATAAACTAAACTGCGATTAAATAAAGCCTAATGTTCTAAGTTGAGCACTGCCGTCTTTCTTGTCTGCACTGGTCTGGTGTTGCAAAGGAGCCATGAAACTACGTAATACAACGTAACGAGTCTGTGTTGCATTGCAAGAGCACATTGTTGAATCTGGCCCAGTTCTTTATTTGTAAAAATAAATCATACCAAAACTTAGGATTCCGGTAAGAGGGTTTTTGAGCTTTTCCGATATTTGCATTCTTGCAGTGCTTGCGGTGTTAAGTTTGTTATTCATCAAGACGTAATTGCTAGACATGCAGGTATAATGTGAATTAAATTTTTTGCCTTCCTCCTCTCAGCAGCACTTTGGCGCAGAGCACAGTATTCACGCTGGCAAAGAACATAGTGTGGAAGAGAAAATTTTGTTTCTCTCTTCCTGGTGTCATTGCATTTGATACACGATTTAACAGCAAACCATAAGGTTACTTCAGAGTTTGTGGGAAAACTTTGGATTCGAGTTGACGCTGAACTATTTTACCTAACGTCATCTGAGTCCATAACAGTAACGTGCACCTTGTGTATTGTCGCTTAGCTGCTTATTTAAAAAGAGCACGTTGTGTGTGCTGTGCCAGGGTGTGTAATCGTGGTGTAGATTTACCTTTAACGCAAACACCGTCGAGGACAGTGATAGATTTCTAATTTCCTTTCTAAGCATCTAACAATATGTCTGTATTTGGGTTATTTTTCACTTTTTAGGTTTGGAAGTCCTTCTATTAGTTGATGCAGTTATAGGAATCTATTTTGTGTTCTGCAGCTGTAATTGTATCACAGGAACAGTAGAAATACTTGAAAAACGTGATGTAATTTTTGCTTGTATAACTTTAAGCTTTTCTTTTGGTAATTTGGTAAAGAAAACAAAAAAATCAGTCTCACAGCCAGAACCTTGTATGCCATGTTTCATCCTAGTCGGAAGATTGATGTGCAAGTTACGAACCCCTGAAATAGTGGTTTATAATGGAAATGCTGGCAGCCCTTTAACTATAGCAGCACAAGCAGTGCAGCAATAAATACTGTGCTTCATCTGTAAACAGAAATTTAGGATGCAGTTTGCAGTCTTGACCTTCAGGCTCCAACTGTGTTTAGATCATTAAGATTCCATAAATACTGTAATTTACAGCCTTCTGAAGGAAGAATTTTTGTGCACAGCAAAGCACGTATTCTTCATGAAAAAATGATTGCTTCCTGTATCCCCATTTGGACTCATATTCTCAACCTCAATCAAAGTACTTGACAAATTTGCTGAAGTTCAGGCGTCTTTTTTAGGCTTGTGTTTGCCCTAATTCACAGCTCTCTGGATCTGTACTCTGTTTTCTTTTCTAGAACTTGAGTTAAAAAGAAAGGTGGATTTTTTCCTTTATTACGGGAGGTGGGTTGCAACCTACTTGTGTGTCCACTACAGGGGAACTAATACATCTTTTCTGTATCTTTTTTTTTTTGTATGGCTTGTACACTTTTTGCCATAGCTGTAGTCTCTTACTGTATATATGTACTTAAAAAAAATACATGCCTCATTCCAGTCAATGTCCTAAGACAATATTGGGGGCATAATTGGTGCAGTATTTGTCTGTAATGAGCAATACAATTATTCACAGTTACTAACTTTGAACTCAAATTACTTTAATTTTTGTTAATTATATTAGGATACCCTGACTAAATTTAAATAATGATGATTGACATTGGCAGGTTGTTCAATACAGTGTAAGCAAACACTGTACTTAAAGTGATTTTCCTTATTACCTGAACTTTGTGACATTGAACTGAAAATTTGACAATAGCATGTTTTCCCCATGATATTCTATTTCCAGCTGAGCTGGAAATGTACAAGTACAGCTTTCATCAGGATATTTTAGTCTTATCCAGAAATTTAGGCAGAATAAAAAATAAAGGGTTTAGAAATGTTACCCTGTTTCGCAAAGGTTACGCTGGGGCTTGATTTGGAGTTAGGACAAAATCTCTGAGTTTTATTGTACCTGAAGAATTTCTGTAATTCCCAATGGTAACCCCGGGTAGGCTTCTATTTCCAAAATAAATATTTAGGAACAAAATAGGATAGCTATTGGTATTTTTCACCTATCTACCTTTGCTTATCATAGTATTGATTATTTTGTGATTTATATTTTGTCATTACTTTAATGGAATAATTGGTAGAAATTTGTGTATGTTTGGTTTTTTTTATCTGGCAATTTCTTACTTTCCTCTCTTACAATGTATAATTGTTTTGAACGTTTCTGTATATTTTCTGATGATCATATTTTGCTACTAGTACTAACAACCATAAATTACATTGCAGTGGCACGTGTGAAGCCAAGGTAAGAACAGAGGTTCCATTACTTTGGGCAATGTGCATAGACAGGAAAAAAAAAAATAAAAAAGAATGATGTCAAGCATATTGTCCTCTCTCTGAGGTGGTCAGCCTCGGCAGAGTTAGATAAACGCTGATAGTTAGTAAGAAAACCCCAAATTCTTACTCTCATCAGCATTCAGTAAAGCATGTGTAGTTGCCTGCTGGGGACAGGAGAAGATGCTTTATCTCCGTATTCTAAACAAAGGGTGTTTCAGCCATAAATAAACATGGATCGAAGCAAAGACCTGGGGCACTT